TCAGCTGAAGCTTCGGCGCACATGCAGCGTGGGTGCTTTGTTGAGTGTCGCGGGGTGTTCCTCCTGACTTTCCTTCGTACTGAGGCTGTGCCAGATGATGGAGCAAGTCAGCGAAGTGCCGGTTCCGAAACAGGTCTACAAGAAGGCTCAGGCAGGATGGTGCCATGTTGTCGGTGGATGGGATCAGGACATGTCGAAGATCCTGCGCCCTGTGTCTGAATTTGCTCATGCCAGGATGCCAAGACCGCGGAGGTCGACATTTGAAAACTCTTGAGTGAAGCAGACAGCATGACCATACTGTGATGCTGTCCACACCCTAATCGTGAGCGTTTAAGCGATTTTGGCCAGCTGGCATTGGGCTGGCATTCGGGGCCTGCTGGTTATTCGGTGCTCCCGAGCACTGAGTCGTCTGTGGGATGAGATGACACAGCTGGGATAAATTGCCCGTTGTGTGCAGGACATCTTAATCCCATAGGCCGACTATGTGGACAAGATCGGGCAAGGCATGCGAAGCAGCCGAGCCTGGTAGCCCTGTTTCTGCTGCATTTTTGAAGCGCGTGCAGTGACAGGACCACGCAGATAGGGTCTCTCGCATCTCAGGTGGATGCGCCTTGTGATCCAGGTATATGTTGAGTTTTGGCCTGAGATGTGCGAGTACCCGAACTCCCTTGCCCATTCTTCGTCAGACCTCCTCCTGCTTCATTTGCAGATCAAGAGGATGTGCACTCCGCTGACCACTTTTGCGTGGACTTTGATTTGACAGGGTTTGAATCCTTGGTTTCTAGGCTCTGCCTTCTCGTCTGCATAATCCGGAAGAGGTGTAGGATTTCTCAGACCTTCACGACCAGTGGAACTGTTCCGGGCGTGTCGCCGGAGCTTTGTTCGGTAGGAGCAGTAGAAGTTCTGCAGAGGATTCGCAACGCCGAATAGAGCATTCTTGCCGAGATTTTGTATTTGAGAGAGCGGGGTCAGCCGGTCACGGAAGCAGAAGGAGTCTGTGTTTGCTTCTCGCCTCCGGCCATGTTTGTTGTCAGAGCATGGGTGGAGGCTCAATACCGAGCAGTGCTGAGCTGAAAGGACCCTGAGTGTGCGGTTCGAAAAAATTGGCCTTGGACTGCACATGCCATTGTGATTCGTGATGCTTGCAGTCGGCTAGCAGGCACGGGGATGTGCTGGGATGATGCTTGCTCGGCACTGCTTCCTGCGCATGACTGCGCATTTGTGGAAACAGGAATGCCACTTATTCAATTCCCCAGTCGGTGCATGATCAGGTACGCCATTCCCAAGCCATGCCAATCGTGAGCTTGCGACAGTGATGCTTGCAAGCAGCTGGCTATGGCCAAGTTTCAGCATTTCATAGGTTTTGGGATGCGGGGGTCTCTGCCGCTAGCTGCGCAGGAAATCTAAACTCCAGGCGCAACACGATAGCGGGGAGCTTGCTGGAGATGTTTGGGTCATGTTCGATGCTACCCTCAACACAACTCTGGTTATCTGCTCTACATCGTTTATCATCGTTTGACTTTTCTCACGTCGTTGAGCTTTGCTCTGTCCATTGGCTTGGTTGCAGTGTAGGTTTTCGAACGAGAGTTTTAGCGACAGCGCCGCGCTGCAGCAAATACTGCGTGTTTTGTCATGCGGGGCTGGCCCTGTTCTGCTTCCTGGGTGTGATGATTTTGTCCTACTTTCCTGTTGCACAGCAACTACAACTTCGAGTATTCCGCTTTAGAAATCAGATCTCCAGTTCGCAGAAGGCACAAAGGACCGACGCATCCCAGATTCAGTATGTCGAGAGACACACACACCTTGCAAGAGAAGTTTGGTGGCACACGCCCTTATAGTGCCCGCTTTGCATACGCTTGGTCACTACCTTGTTAACCTGCAAACATACTAAGTGCTGCGCCTTTCGGGAAAGTGCACTGTCTCAAGCCACGAAATGCAGGGGTAACCTCTACCGACGAATGATGGCGACACCCAGCTTTATATCGCACTGACATCTCGTCATCGTCGGACGACTGATATTACTGCACTGGCTTTAGCGAAGCCTCACTGGAGAGTCTCCAGAAACTGTAGCAAAGACAGTTAATTTTGTGCCGGACGACCTGGGTTCTTGCCTCCCGGAGCGCGTTTAAATCAGATCGACGTGTGATTTAGTACCATGTCAATGTCCTAACTGCAGACGCTCGGGGTGTGTGCTCTAGCAATCCGAGGAAAATAATCCGAGGAACGTAGCAGATTGCCCGGGTCAGGACCACAAACCTGTGTATGCCTCAAACTCACGAGCAATTTACCTGGCACCTTACGCCTCGTCCATCCTCATCCTTCAGTACCAATTGGTCCAAACCGGGCTCGCCATGAGGACTGAGGCAATTGCCTCGAGTTGAGGTTCGCAGGTAAGACACTCATCGAGAGATCAAGCTGATGCATCAGAGCTTGTCTTCTGTGGGTTGTGGTGCATGTTGCTACCAGTAGCTGAGTTCGAGGTTGCTTTTTCTAAGAGGGCCCTTTCATACCTGAAGCCTCAACGTCCAACCTTGGCACCTAGCAATCGGACTTCGTCTGTAGGCTGTATAGGAATGCCTGGCCTAGACCTGGCCTGAAGCTGTCTCATAACCTGGCTGCGGTGAGTGGTCGATGGACGGCTCGAAAAAAAAAGCGCCGATTGTGAATCTCGAAGGACTCCGAGTTCTAGAAAGTTGCTTCCTTTCCCGAGACCAAGGTCGCATTGACACGCATCTAGACCGTGTAGTGAAATGCACAGCTGGTGCCATTCCTGCTGAGGAGGATGTTCGTGGCGCTTAGCCTGCAGAGAAGGAACTTTTGCCACATCTGCCGGGGCTCCTGCGGCTCGCAAGCTGGGAAGTTAAAGTTTCTCCGGGCCAGATCCTCATGGCCGAGGCCGGCCTGGGTCTGCGTTGGCCAAGCAGCTTCTCGGTCGCCAGGTGGAGGAGTATGAGCGCGGCCACGGCGCTGGGCCGCAAGGCACCCGAGAAGTAAATTTCTGTGACCCGGCGGGCAAGAGGCAAGTGCAGATCTTTTTGCTCTCGGGCAGCCCTCTCGACGTGCAAGTGTCTGTCAAGGCAGCATCCGCTTCAATCCTGTGGTCTCCTTGCTTGCTGCCGGGGTCCTCTGGGGCTTCGTGCTCTATGCGGTTTTGGACGACGAGGCCGTGACGGTCTTCGGTGAGTGGCAGTCCTGGGTCACGAGCACATTCACCTGGCTCTACATCGTTTCCCAGGCCCTGAGTCCTGAGCATTAAGCCCCCGAACCTGCAAGAAAGCAGAGATCTCAGGACTACTGGCTTTTCTACCTCTTCCCCTTGTGCTACTACTACGGTGACATGAAGCTGGGTCAGGCCATAGAAAGGTGCTTGAAGGCACGAGTTCTGAGAGCACACATGGCCGTCCGCAGGACGACGAGGAGCCCGAGTACGGCGACCTGACCTACTTGGCCATGGTCTGGTGTGCGGGTGTGGCCATCGGCTTGATCTTCTACGGTGTTTCAGAGCCCCTGACCCACTCCGTGGATGCAACCAACAAGTACAACAACAACGGGTACTTCAACGAGAATGAGATGGCCATCAACGGCCTGCACATCACACTCTTTCATTGGGGTTTCCTGGCTTGGATTGTCTATGCCATCACTGCACTGACCATGGGCTTCCTGTCCTACCGGAAGGGACTTCCACTGTGCTTCCGTACCACGTTGGCCCCTCTCTTCGGCAAGGCAACCTGGGGTTGGATGGGGGATTTGCTGGATGTCCTGACCATCGTCACCATCGTCGCAGGGCTCTGCACGTCTCTGGGCCTGGGTGCCCGCCAGATCGTCGGCGGCCTGCAACGCCTCGAGTGGCTCGATGGCAGCCTGACCGAGGAGCTCTCTGGTGTTTGCTGATTGCCGTGTTCTTGCGCTGTAGTCTGGGGTTCAGGGCTCAGGTGCGTTCGCCTGCGCTCGCAAGGACGAGCTGACCAACACTGCCGCGGTGGTGATCGCCATCATCACGCTCTGCGCCACGCTCTCTGTCGTTGCCGGCTTGGAGTTCGGCATCAAGACGGTCTCCTACACGGCCTTCATGTGCGGCAACGTGCTGATGATGGTCGTGTTCGCTTTGGATGAGCCGTGGTACATCCTCAACGTGATCGTCCAGACAGTCGGTTACCACCTGAGCCTGGGTGGTCCTTTAGGAAGCACTCTTCCTCTTTATCATAACATCAACCTCAGGATACCTCAAGGGATCTTGGAGGCACTGTTTTTTGTGTTGGGTCAGAGGGGCTTTCAGGAATCACTTCATCGAGATCGCCTTCGACACCGATGCCTTCGCCCAGATGGATTTGGGAAATGGGCGGCCCAACGATGGCAAAGGCGCCAACCCATCCTGGATGGACTGGTGGACCATCTTCTATTGGGGCTGGTGGATCGCTTGGGCCCCTTTCGTCGGCACTTTCATGGCGCGCATCTCTCGTGGACGCACCATCAAGCAGGTGGTCATGTACACCCTCACCCTGCCCTTCATGTACGCTGTGCTGTGGTTCTGCATCTTCGGTGCAGCCGGCATCCGCATGAACCGCCGCGCCATCTGGTTGGAGAACATCNNCAATGCGGACTACTTCCTCCACACGGACACGACCTTCCGGCCCAGTGGGGCAGGCAAGTGCTTCGATGTGCCGGCGAGCATCCCCGGCGAAGCCTTTGCCGCCTACTCCGTGAACATCAACGTGAGTCCCGTCTGCAAGTACTCCGGCGGAGATTCCTCAGGATACTGGTTTGACCTCATGGGCCAGTATTACGGCATGGGCCAGGCTCTGACCTTTGTGTCCATTGTCACCACCATCCTCTATTTCGTGACTTCGAGCGACAGTGGATCCCTGGTGGTGGACCTGATTGCTGCCAATGGCCGCGAAGCGCATGTGGTGCAGCGTGTCTTCTGGGCCTTCACCGAGGGAGCGGTGGCCATTGCCTGTCTGTTGTCTGGTGGCTTCAGCTCACTGACCGCGCTGCAGGCCGTCTCCATTGTGATGGGCCTTCCCTTCACGGTTGTCATGATGATGATGTGCACCTCCCTGTGGCGGGCGCTGAAAATCGAGGCCGGCGAGATCGCCCCGAGAGGTCAGAGAACAGACTGGAAGATGCCGATGTACGGTGGCATCTTCGATGCCCCCGAATACTTGCTGAGTTCCTTTAGGTCCCCCCTGCCTTCCATGAACACTTGTGGGACCTTCGTCTTGGCAACGCTGGCACCGCCCTTGGTCTTCTGGCGCTCGATGAGGGCCATGTCCAAGTACGAGAAGGGTGAAGGAACCAGCGCATTCCTGCACGGCATGCTCACCGCCACGCTGGGCGTCTTCTTCATGGCCTTCGTCATCCTGCACATCGTCTCGTGGGTGTTTCAGGCGGACGCAGCCGGTGCAAAGGAGGGCAAGGCGATGTTCTGCTTCGCTTGGATTGCATACCTCACCTTTGCCTCCATCCTGTCTTTGGGTCGTCACCAGATGCGGAGACTCTACGCCATCGAAGGTTCCGGCATCGAGGACATCTGCGCGGCCGTTTTCTTGTACCCACAGACGCCAGCCAG